ATGATAGGTGGGTTATATATGTATATTTTTCATGCCTCGTCAAAAATCGTAAGACTTTAGTTGGGAAGTTTTCATACATCTACTATATAGTGATATATTATACTTTTAGATTATCATCATTAGTTTCTATATCTGCAATAACATATTTAATTTTATTTTTTTATTTTTATTTTTAGTTTTTTTAATATAATTATTTCTTTCGTTTTTAAAGATAAGATATTCTTTAGTAAAATAGCACTTGTTTTCAAATCGTCTGTTATCAGGAGTTAAAATTTTAATATAAAAACGTCAAAACCAAAATGAAATCAAGATACATCAATACCGTTACAGACATTGTAACAACTTCCATAACTTCCATAAGTGCACCCCACAGCTCACCTCTCCACAGCTCACCTAAATTTTGCATAAGCAAAAGCCATTGTTTCGGATGTTGTTGACTATGGTGATGATGATGATATTAATTCTGATGAAGAGAGTTAATGCCCACGAGTACAGCAAAAGTATAAAGTATTTATTGTAATGTATCAAAACGTGGGTAATGTATTTTTTTATCTGAAGTTATCCTATTTTTCTGCAATTTTCTTATTTATATTTAATTTTTTTTCCTTTCGTTTTTATATATTCTTTTTTTTTTTTTGGTTTGAAGAAACTTTTCTTCCACTAAACGTTTTGGTGAGCTGATTTCTTTGTTACTTAAAAAGATTATTACACATTTTTTCTCAATTCCCCTCACTTCTATAAATTTTTCCTATGCTTCTTTTATTACTACTTTCCTTAGTTGTATAAAGACAATATTCCCTAGGGCTGATTTGTATTGAACGCATAACCAGCACAGCTGAATGTGAATACAATATTATACTAAAAATGCTTAAAAAGTTATAAATGCAAATATATTGTATATTAAAAAAAAACTAAAATTGTTACTCTTTTTCCTTATACGTTTTTATTTTCTTTATATATATCGATTTTTTTCATTTTTTTTACTTTAATTTATACAATAGGTCTGTTCCACGAGCCACTCGTAGTAACTTTGAGTAACACTGTGTATATACAAGTGCGATCCACCAGCAAATTTTCGTGTATTTTCGTATAAATTTTACTTGTATTTTACTTGGGTTTTACTACGAGTAGCTCGTGGAACAGACCTAACATAACCGTACTTACAATAATTCAAAAAAAGCTGGATAGCTTGTTTCCGTTATTTTCTTTCGTTCCATTACTTGAGATGGAAAATTACTTCGGGTGGCCATTCTTAGTCTCAAATTATTGACAGTGAGTTCCGTTAAGTTAGCACGAGCATTTTGACCAGGTGGAGTTTATTAACTGTTCTATGTGGAAAAATTTCTTCCTACAAAGCACAACGTTTGGAAATTCGCCACGTTTATGCAACAACTCCTGTGCTCTTTCGAGTCTAAATTTTTTTTGCTTTGGTGTAAGATCTTGTTTATCTTATTTTGTTTCGTCTTGTATTCGCATAGAAGATATCATAGATTTTTGGACTCGGCACCTTATAGCTTATTCGTGAACATTTTAGAATTTTGATGGAAATGTATTGCTAAGATACGAGTAAGTTTTATGTCATGGCAACTTTATATAATACTTTTAAATATTCCAAAATAAGGAGTGCTAAATGATACGAAGCTCACTTAGGATCAATAAACATAAATTAACATATACGGAGTAAAATTCTTCCAAAGACGATGTGTCAGCTATCGGAGTAGTCTGAAAAATCATCAATTAACGAAGATCATATTTGTTTAAAAATAAAGAAAATCCGAATTTTTTTTCAACAACATCCGAAGTAGAGCCTAGAACATTGCTTTTTCTTTCAGTGTGTGGGTTAATACGCTCTGAATGGATTACAGTTTCCAGTTTCGGGTTTGGAAATTCAACGGGTTGTTATTGTTTATAAGAGATGACTTAGTGTCTTCTAAACCATGCGATTGATAAAGCATTTTTTCAGTACTTATTGATATACAGACAAGTCAATAAGGAAGCTAGGCTTAGAAGAAATATTGCGTTCGCCAAAATATTGAAATACAGGACCAAATATCTGAAAAAGTTATAAAAAATTAAAGGTCCAAAATATTGACATCTTATATCGTAATTGTTTGTTATTTTCTTGAGTTTTTCGATTTAAAGTAAATACATTATATAAAATAAATTTTCAGAGAAGCTTTTCATAGAGCGTAGAATAGTTTGATACTAACATCTATTTTATTGATTGTGTGCCAAGTGTTTAATTTCAGGTCAGGTGCTTCTACTTTGGTACACCGCCTGCATTAAACGAGTCCAGGTGTTAGTTAGAGGATTTCTTAGTTAGACTTTTGGGTATCATTCAAGCGCTTTTTTCGATTCATTGCTCTGAGACTTGCTCAAAGTGTGGCCTATACAATTTTATTTTTTCTTATACTTCTATCACTCATAAGTCATTCAATTGAAATAAGTAGTTAATATATTTATCTGAGAAAAGTCTTAAGAGACCCATCAAAATCTTTGACAAATTTTGAAAGTATTTTATTCAATATTTTAAAATTTAGTACTATTTCTAAGATATTAGTAATAGTCACTATATCTTAGATAGTTACTAAGATATTGTCGATTGTCTTTACCAACGCCGCGACAAGCACATAGTAAAGACACATTTTATTATAGCTAAGTGACTTAGTTAATCGATTCTAACCACTTTTTACTAAAAAGTGTTTTCAGAAGTCCATCCGTTAGTATAAAAACTAAGAAATTTCTTTATGTTGAAAGAAAAAACTTCAAGGAGCATATATAGATATCCTGTCACATAATATAATCACCAGTAATGTGTATATATATAGTTTATTTTACTATAAATTAATTCACATGACAAACGTTATTAGTACTGCTTTGAAGGAAATAAAAATAGATTTGATTTAAAATAATTGAAGAACATTTTATTGACTAAACTTTTGGAGCTAATAAGGAGTATAGTTTCTATATTATAGCTGTCTGTCCTCTGGCGCAGAAGTAAGCGTATGACGATAATAAAAGTGATACAGAGTGACATATTCTGTAAATGATGTATTATTCATTTCTTAGTTTTCAAGTTAACAATAAAACTATAAAACTAAAATCTTTTAAGCACAAGAATCCCTTTTGATATACATAGGTGTTCCATACCATTTCGTGTAAATCTTAATATTCACTTATTGATCAATACTTAATACAAATTTTAGTTAAGTTACGTTATTTTCTGTTTGATTTTTGTTGTGATTGAATTATATCTTAAATAGGTATAGATAGAAAAGTTTAGATCATTTGTGTTTAAAACGACCTGCACTCTCAAAATTGGATTCAAGAGACTCATAGTCTGACATGTATTTACACACATATCCTATGTACCCCACGTATAGGACCTGACATAGTGCATGAACTGATAAACAACCCAACCTAAAAATTGAAAAACATTTCCACTCTGTGGCTGAATGACAGTTGCAAGGCTTTGCAATCCTTGAAGCAATTCAATTGCTGTTTCCGAATCATCGTCGCCGTCTACATTAGTGTATTCTGTTTTAAGGTTTTTATATTTATTTTTAGTAGAGTCTATTTTGGTTTTCGATTTCGACAGTTTTTTGGGTTGTAAGTTGATATTTGATAAGCTTCTCTGTCTCTGGTAAAATCTTTTTGATGGTCCAATTTCGGATTCGATATCTTCTATCGTATCAAGTTCAGTTCTTGATTTTCTTTTAAGTTCTCTGGGTTCTAGTTCATATTCTTCTTCATCTGCATAAAGTTTGGTTTTGGACTTGCTTTTATGTATATTGTGTTTTACTTTGGGTTCATTATCTTCTGTGAAGAGTTTGGTTTTAGATTTTCTTTTATGTTTATTGTGTTCTATTTCATATTCATCTTCGTCTCTATAATGTTTGGTTATAGATTTTCTTTTATGCGTTTTGGGTTCTAATTCATATTTGTCTTCATCTCTATAAAGTTTGGTTTTAGATTGTTTCTTATGCTTTTCGGGTTCTAAATCATATTCGTCTTCATCTCTATAAAGTTTGGTTTTAGATTTTCTTTTACGATTTTTGGGTTTTATTTCAAATTCGTCTTCATCATTATAAAGTTCAGTTTTAGATTTTATTCTATGTTTGCCTGATTCTAAATCAGATTCTTCATCTGTAGAAAATTCGGATTTATGTTTTCTTTTATGTTTTCTGGGGTCTTGATTAGCATCTATACTATTTCTGTACTGTGCTTTATTCAATTTTTTTGAAAAATGGGTTTTATGAGGAATTTTTTCGGACGATTCTGTAATAGAAAGGGAATCTCATTGAAATATTAACTGATGAAGTATTATGGATCTGATATTTTTATTTCTTACTTACACTAACGCAAACTTTTATACTATAATAAACATTATACATGTGTAAAAACATAAGTGCTATAAAATATAAAAAAATTAATTGAACAACAGAACTCATATTCAATATATAGTAATCTCCATAATAATAACTGTTTCGACCAAACCCCTTCCATCCATGCCATTAATTTCGTTTCTTGGAGCCAGGAATTGTCTTCCGAGGGTAAATTACGTTGGTTAAATATATTCTTTATATCATGGGATGGATTTATATACCTATATGTCTGTGCCCAGGGAATAAAAATATTTATATATATATATATACATATATATATATGAATGCAGACATATAATACTCATATATTATGAGTATACTTAATAAAGAATACTTGCTATAATTTATAGCTTATTACTTAATGTATTCTTAACGTACTCTGCTTTGATGTACTGGAGTATTCTTCATCATATTCTTCGTCACTGGTATCAGGGGGGCTGTGCTCTCTGAAAGTCTTAATTTTCATTTTGTATCATTTTCAACTAAGGCAACATTGAGCTGTTATTGATGAGCCCCTCACCAGACCCCAGAATTTTGTGCGCAAAATGTAACTTAAATTTAAAATCAAAAACAATCAAAGATTAATTTTTATTAAAAATAAATTTATAAAAAAAAATTTTAAACGACTATATTAACATAGGTTACCTCATTTAAATGGGTCATTTCATATTTTGGAAGTTTTCTGTAAAGTTTTTTTTGAGTTAAGCATAATAACCATAATAATAATAAGGTGGCAACACGTAAAAACATCATCGTTTAACGAAAAGTTAATGGCATGCTTATAATTACAATGTCTTGTAAGTATAGCATATTTATTTCCAAAATCCTGACGTAATCAGAAATATAAACAGACTATTTCGACATATTTTTATTCAATATAAAATTACACAGAAATACAAAAAATTATTGAGCAACTCTTCTCTTTTAGATAGCAAATTACGTCAACAGTGCGTGATATGGATTGAGATAACCCTATATTACTCTAACCCTGAGATATCACCCCATTAAAGCCCATCTTCAGTTTAACTCTTGTTCATGATTCAATATTATTCACAAAACCATTTTACACAAGCTTTAGCACTTATAAGATGCAATCGATGAAAAAATTAAAAACCGCATGATCATCGATTGCGTCATTGCCTTTACTAATAAGCACTCGGATGGTTAGAAAATGGCTTCAAAGGAAAAATTAATTCAATTATAGGGCTCGTCGCTGCCAGCTACAGTCGCAAGTTGAGTTATGACCATTTTTTGAGACAAACTAATAGTGGATAGGTCTATGCTACCCTAAGCAGTCGGGTTATTCCAAATGCAGAACATCTGACTTGATACACAGAAGCAAATCAGAAGTATCTAGGTTATTGGACAACATAGAGCTAAACTCGGCCTATCCTGTGGTATCTCCTGCAATGCATGTCTACCAACTTTCAAAGAAAGGACAACAGAAAACCTGTTGTGCCTATGTCTAGGCTTGGCTAGAACTACGCTTAGGTTTTTGGAGGTCTCCTTCTTTGCTGAGTGTGTCAGCAATATCTCTAGTATAAGCATTGGCCAACCTCTCGCCGTACAAAGTGTGTTTATACCAATCATCTATTAAGCTCCTTCATTCATGCATTCAGTCAAAACTCATCTAAGCTCAGATACGTATATTGAAAATTTCTTCTTCTTAAAGCTATGATCGATAAAAAATGTTGACAGAGCCGTAACCAAGCCATCCATAAATATCGATTTATTTCCCCGTACATTTAATCCTTTAATATATGGGAGAAAGAATTCTGAATGGCTTACAGGTTATGATTTTAGTGAGCGTGTGTTGTACTTTATTTGATATTTTTTAATCATCAGATAAGTCAAGGAGTTATGAAAGTATCTGGATGTTTGGTTATAAATAAACTTATTCAAACTACGAGAGCATATTTTTTTTATTGTTTTATAATGTCCTTTATCAAGAATAATGTGCATGCATTACAAGTGGGATCCAACTTAAATTTTTTTTAAAAATTCTTCTAAAACAACTACCTCGAGGAGTTTTCATCGTACTTAAAAAAAATGTAGTCATAACTGCAAGTCAAAAATACAGAAAAGAGAGTTTTCAATATATGTATATTTTGTTTTTTTTTTTTAAATTAACAGGAACTATTAGTGCTTGAATTTAAAAATTTTTTATGTATTTATTTTTCTTACAAAAAGTTCTAATTATCTTTACAAAAAAAAAATTTAAGTCTCAATAATTTACAAAGTCACAGATATAGCCATATCTGTGATGTTTGGATCCCATAGATATATAACTAATATGAAAGAAATGATATAATACATTGCAATATATAATGTATATAATCATATATTTACTATAATTCATATAACAGTGTTCATATATATTTGAAATTAATATAAATTTACTTAATTAATTTACTTAACTAATGAATTTTGTTTTTTTATAAACAAATAAGTGTTTAAAAATAGTTTGTGAAAAATAAAAATAAAAATAAAAATAAGAAATATAATTTGCAACATGGGTTTCCAGATTTTTTCAAAATTTATCCTTTAATTTTTTATATTGTCAAAGAGTTTTGTGATTCACATCGCTTAACCGAAGAAAAACCTCTGCAAAAAAAAAAAAATAAATATAAAACTATATCAAATTTTTCTTTTTTTTGCAAACCTTCAAAATTTATCATTTTTGTTATAATTTAATCTCTCCATCCTGAAAGGATTAAACGAAAGGTTAGTGTTACATTTGTCCTTTATCTTAACAGCCCCTGCATATAAATTGTGTATTTTTCATGTTTGCTGCCATCCTCCAAAAAATACACCTAAACGAAATATAAAAATTATTTCTTTTCTCTCATTGACATCACAATTTTGACGACTCACCATGCCTCCTTCATCCATAATTTTGTTAAATAAGTACACCAAAAAAAAACTGATTGCATGATGATTTGATCTAATTATGATGAGATCTAAGACAGAAATTACCGACTCTGTGGAGGTATACAGCTTACAACTATTAACCTTTCCTTCCCGAAACAATCAAAAAAATCTGATAGTTCAATACATCAATAAGAAAATCTGGCTTCATTCGGTTTAAGTATTAAAGTCTGCGTCCAAATGCTATGAATCTCGAGTTGTACAACAGACAGTTTTTTGTATACCTATGACATACCAGAATCTTGTTTATCGTCGGTATTTTCTTTTTCACTTTATGGAAATAGTGAAGAAAAAACCATTAACTATATGGGTACAATATGGTATATGTTAAATTAATGAATTTTTAACTTACACTGTTACACTCTTCCTCCCGAATCTCATCATTCTAGCTTTTGAATCAGTTTTTTGACTTGAAATATATGATTTATTTCTTCCTTTGTTTCTTAAAAGCTTTCTTCTTAACAGGGTTACAGCCCATCGGCATATTAACTATAAGTGAACCTGAATGTCCACTTGGTCCCGGCATCTCCAAATTCTGTCGCTCAGTCATTGGAATCGAACAATTCATGGCACCCGTGTCTGTTTTATTCTTTCTCTCCTCATTAATTAAATGGAGCAAATTCTGTTTAAGTTTGAACTCATTTTTACTGATTGACGAAATTTTAAGCTTTGCCAGACTTTGCTTCCTTTTAACTAAACATCATTTATTAACCACAAACATAAGAACTTGTTTTTTTACTTCATATTATTTGTACTTACAGTTTTTTCTCTTGGGCTTTGGAGGATATTTCCGACCTTTTTGAACATTATGTTGTATTCGTAGTGTGCAACATTTTCCATTATTGTGCCGCTGATCCTTCTTCTCATCTTCATCCTCAACGTCATCATCATCTACTTCTGATTCTGATTCTGAATCTAAATCACTTCCGTCTGAAGAGCAGTCACAATAAACAAGTCTTTTGTGTTTTCCTTGGAATGGTCTAGGTCCAATAATTGATGGTAATTTCCACACACTCTTTTTATTGTCTTCAAGTTGAATCCTCCTAACGTCTCTCTTAAAAGTCTTGTCAATTGAGTTGGTATGATTCTTTTTAAGAAAATTAACTTTCTTCATAAAGCCTTCTACGATCTCTTTTTGGCGTTCGCGGTGTAAATTAAGTTCCTTTTTAAATGCTTTAAATATATCATCGAGTGAATCACTAAGATTTTCTTTCAATTTCCGACCCATATTTTATTCCGAAATATATAATACACTATAATTTGGATATAGAATTCTTTAGTTGTTGGCAGAGAAAAAATTAGAAACTGGCTTTAGTTGTAAAATATTTGAAATGAATTGAAATAAAAATTTGTTTAAGTTGAAATAAAAACACGCCTGCTTTATAAAATTATTTGAGGGTAGAAAACTTTCAAAAACGAGTTAACTTCGAATAATCATAATGGATATATATAAGATTTTAATAGGAACATTCTTGCTTAAAACATCATAAGTGCGTGTCATGTGTTATGTGCATATATGAAATAATGTTATAATAACTGAAGACGTGTTTGGTTTTAGAAGCCATCATGGACTTCTAAAACCACTGTCGTTGAGATGTAAATGATATTTTCAAAATATTGGAGAACATGTAGTACTCCATGACAGTTTCCCCTTATATACAATTAGCTATGATGATGAGTATGATAGTCTTAGAACTATCATTTTTTCTTATGCATTTATATGTATCATCTTTTTCTACAATATGCAAATAAGTAGTACGTCTCAGTAATTAAAATGATTAGTCATAGTATCATTTCAATGATCTTATGGTTTCTTAAGCTAGTTGTATGAACCTCATTTTTTAAGGAACTTGCAGTTAGAAAAACGCAAGACCTCCCATCAAATAGCATTTTAAGCTTAGCTAAAGTTTTAAAAAAAATTTAAACGGCTGACTTTTCCCAATACGGTAGCACAATAGACCAATAAGTCCAAATGGATACTTTGAATCGTCCGTATTATGTAATATAATCTAATCTACTTCAATTTCGTCAGTCACAATACCCAGATGTATACAATATTGTTTAAACTGCATTGTTAACTGATTTTTAGACTCCAACCTTCAGATAAGTAAGTGAAATAAGTAAATCTTCTTACAGAACTCTTACCATTTACGGTCTACGTCCTCAGATGAACTAGAACTAGAATTAACCCTTCGAAAATGCAGTTTCGAGCTAAGTACTGCACTTGACGGGGCCTACATTAAAGATAATAAATTTAATATTTAGAAATGACGGTTGATGGACTGTACATTTTATATGAATGATTTTAGGAAACAATTTCTTCCTTCCGATGCTGTTATCAAAAGTGGGGACATTTACCATGGAAATATTGATATGTAACTCATTGTTTCAGTTAATTCTGTTTTCAAAAATGAGTTGACATTTAATAAATTTTTACCAATTTGTATATTTTTATAGTAATGGATAATGATTTCTTATTAGGATCAATGAAGAAGTAAGTGACTATAGTACTCAAAGCAAAGATTGCAACATAAGACAAGATTTTGTATTTACAACAAATCTACTTATTAATATTGAAGCCTTTCCGTACAATATTATTTCTTGGCAATCAGTGGTGACCCCATTAAAACATTTCCTTTAAA